GCAGTTAAGAGAAAATAAAATTAAATATGTTAAGTGTTTCTTGGAATATTATGACATTTGAGAACATTAACATGGACTTTAATGATGTTGGGTCTTTTGTTTAGTAATATTTTTTGGTGAAAAATTAAATTTTTTTGGAAAGCTTAGGTAGATTTTATTATTTAAGTTGAAAATTTATTTGAAACAGTTGATATTAATTTTTATAAATTTTTTTTTAAAAACTTAATATTGAAAATGTGTTTGATTATTGACTTTATATCAGAAATATTTCTTATTATATTGTTTATAATAATAACGGATATAAAATGATAAGTTTACAACTAAATTACACTGAAATCACTTTGGTCTATAAGTTAAAATTCGCCCAGAAAGACAGTGGCTAGTGAAGAAAGTCGATTTCTAGCAACAGTCTGCTAGAAAGTCGATTTAATATAACTCAATAGGAATAAAGAAAACTCAAGTTTGCAAAAAATAAGAGTAGCAGTGCCTATATTGGTAGAAGATACAATATAACCCTGCTTAACAGTAAACCATGCTTGTAGGGGAAAAGTAGTAGTTCCAAAATTCTGTCGAAACTGCTTCAATAAGTTAAAGATGAAGAGAAGAGCATATACTGTCCAATTTTTTACTGTCCTGCTTTAATTACTTTAAATCTATATGATCCAAAAGCGCTATCGACCTTTTGCGTTTCAAATTAACAATACAGAGAACGTTTTTTGACCCATATTAATAGGAGTCATAACAGGCCTCTGTCTAGTAGGAAGATATACCGGAAGGATAATACTTGTAGTTCTACAGTTCTGTCGAAACTAAGAGATGAAGGGAGCATATACCATTCGCTGTTTCAGTGTCGAAATTTAATAACTTCATAGCTATATGATATAATCTGGTATCTGTCGATCTCCTTCAGTTAAAATTTCAAATGATATTGAAAGGGTTTTCAATATTGAGAGGGTTTTCTTACCCTCTTACCCTTGTAGGAGTAATAACGGAACTTTATTTAATAGGAATCCATTTTTAAAGAATAAAAGTAGCAGCTCGAATTTCTACCGAAACTGTTGCAACGATAATGTTAGGAAAAGGAGTGCATATAGCATTTATTAAGTCACTGTCCTACTTTATGAGCATTATACCAACATAATTTAGAAATACTAGTATGGGCTTTCTTATCACTCATTATGTCACTGTCCTACTCTAATTACATCGCCCCAATATAATTTAGAAATACAACCGACCTCTTTGAAATCAAATATACTCACAATCTTTTGTTTAAAAAATATTCTCTAACAATTTTCAGTGATTAGAATCACTAAAATTCTCTACTGTAGAAACTACGAAAATTTGCTTCTATTAGATCAAGAATAAAATTAGAGGCCCTATGCTCCATTGGGAGATGAGGATGACAGAAGATGCTCAAAAATGGATGAACTTAACTGCTGATAAACAGACATACAGACATATATCATTTTAGAGTGATTAGTTTGTTATCAATTAGTTTGTTTACAGCTTTTGATTTTTCTAGTTGACTTTAAATACCTTTTGCGTCTTTTGGATTATTTACTGGGACAAAGTCTTCAGAGAACAATATTTCACATCAGTAAATATAATAAATAATAATTCTTTTAATGCTTTGGTTTAAAAAATGAAAATATTAGTTGCATTTTTCAAATCTTGTGTTGACATTTATTTTTCATAATTTTTTTTTATATAATAATATTTTCCTAGAAAAATAATGTCAATTGTTCAATTGAACCAAAGTATTTATAGATTTAAGGTCAATTTGCTTGTATCAATAAAGCCTTGAATTCGAGTTTATTTAATTAAAGTTACCACCTCCTGTCATAGCTAAAATTAGTATTAAATATATTTTTTCATTAAATAATTTATTTAATTTTTTCTTCTTTGCCACCAGAGTGTCGCTAATCTTTGTACCTCACCGACTATGCAAAAATAGAAAAAAAAATATACGTATATATAAAATTAAATAAAACATGTACAATAATGGCAAATCATTTTTGTACTTCTAATGCAATAAATTACAAATTTACAGACAATCCACAGACGAAAATGATTTTTTTCATAATGAGTACAAGATTTTTTAATTTAAATATAATTTTTATGCTGTAATTAATGCGCTTTTCACACAATAAATTGTGCTTAAATGCGCGTTTAAATGTTTTCAATGAGTTTAAATTAAAAAAAAAAATTAAAAAAATATGAAAAAAAAATTTTATGTAAACATAAACAAAATGAATAACAAGCCCGAAATGCAATCATTGTTTCTAATAGAGACAAGACCATTTTTCAGTTAGTTAATGTTTTGCATATTAAAACATCAACACTTGGCTTAATAATTTATTATAATTGAAAGATACAACAGTCACTGTATGAAAAAAATCGAAAACTCTAATGCATTATGGCACTTATTAATTAAACATTAATCAAAACCGTTTTGAGCCCGACTTAAAAGGCAGCTAGATACATTATAAATATATTAATAACCGGCTTTATTTATTATAATTTAAATAAAAACGTGCTTTAACTAAACAAGCCAATTGCTACGTGGTAATTACTTGCCGCCACTTAATTTTTTTATTTACAATAATTTTTCGAATATTTTCAATGTATCTTTAATATTATTTTTAACCTTTTTTTTGGATACTTTATATTGTTTACAAAATAATTTGGTTCGACTGGAAGTGCTAGCGCACTCCAGCTGTGTGCGTTCAAGTCGCACTTTTGGCATATCATCAAACTTCACTGTAAGTTTTCACAGCTTTAAAACACTGAACCAACCCAAAAGTCTATTAATTCTCTTTTGTACTATGGCAATGCGAGTAGTTCAAAATTATTTCCAGTTCCATTTTCAAGTGCAATGTTTATGGCTATTTGTAAAATATTTTTACGGATTAATTTGCCAAAAATGCAAAATCATCATGAGATGAATTGTAACAAGTTTGGTTGAACAAATAATATTTCTAAGTATGTAGGGGCTATTAAACTAAAACCAATAAATATTAATCAAAGCATAAATAAATGTCGAGATCTTAATTTATTACTTAAAAAAAGTAATATGATATTAATATCAGTGTTTTTCTAAAAACCAGATAAAATATTATGACAATGTAACAATAGTGAGAAGGCAACGAGGTAGAGCAATAGGACTCCAATAGTAAGTAGTGATCTTGCCCAGAAGCTAAATATGCAACCCTCGATAGACTTACATTTTTCAGTGAGGTAGTAAAGAATAACATTACAAAGTGAATAATGGTTCAATGGAACCCCAATGGAAAGTAGCAATATCACCCATTAAATGGATACGTAGCCCTCAATAGAATAACAGCACTATTTAAAGTGCTACTTCTTCTTCTACATTCCATTGCATTCCCAGGGGATCATTGGGCCATAAAATACTATGACAAGCGCATGTAGGATTCAGTCGTTGCATAGAGGGAAGCGCGTAGGGAAATATATAAACTGTTATAATATTGACTAGCAAACGTTATCGCAAAATTTAACAAAATGAAATTATGTTTTTAGGACCGATAATTTTTAGAACTCTCTGATCTAACAAAAAGCGAGAACACACTTAATGAAAGAAATAAATAAGGAAGGTTGGAAATCGATTTATTTTGGTTTGTAGAAATAAATAGACTAATGAGGCACTTCGATTATGCCTACCTTTGTTGCTATGAGACAGAAAAATTATGCTGTACCTGGAGCTTCTATTGCTATCTTATATTACAAATCTCTCATCGAGGGATATTCTAAATTTCATACAAAAATTTGAATATCTAAAATCAGTTAGGATCAGATTCAACATAAAAGAATCACTTGTATTGCAATACTCCGCTTGTAGGCTCTCACTACGCCCTTGATGAATCTATCTATCTATCTTTTACGATAGATTAACATGTATTAGCTTTATAAGTATATTTATAACAATGTGTATTGTAGGTGTTTGATTTAATAATTAGAATAGACTTAATAGTTGATCACTATAATGTAAAAAGTAGAAGCTATTAAAATAAAAGAAATTGAATGCTCGAACTGTTCAAATATATATCGCTAAACGAATTTAATGTCAGTCTACATTACATAAAAAGGATTATCTTTTAATAATAAAAATTAAATATGATAAAGTTTTTATATCTTATAATTATTAATATATCTTTTGTAGAACCAAAAAGAAAAGCTCGATGAATGTTTCAAAATTGTATATGGGCGAGTATGTATTAAATTAAAATAAAATTTAATATCAATTTAATAATAATTTATCAAGAGGTTTTTTAAACAGTAGTGAACTACAACAACAGAAATTCATTTTATTTTATTTTTTAATAGAAACCAGGAATCTACTCAGTGTCGCTGCCAAATATTGAAGCTCAGAAGTCAGACAAACACATTACCAACACTGATTAAAAACCGTACTTGCTTCTTATATGTTCGCAAATTTTTCTGGAGTTTTGTTAATTGCTGTATAAGTTTATTAACAAATTTACTTGCTGTATTTATATTAGAAACGATATATAAACCCGCTTTAAAATTTGAATTTAAAATAATTATATTTTTATTTTTAATTATTATATTTCAATACTATTCCATTTTATGTAGATGCATTAATATATGGCATGATTTATAATAATTTATCTTAATAATTTACAAATGTAAATGCAAAGTATTATAATATATATATTAAATATTAAAAGAATTATACATAATTTTAGTGTAAAAAAATTTTTTTACGCATTATATTACATATACGTGTATATAAAACTATTTATATACATATAACATAACATTTTTAGTCGTAAAAAATACTAAGTATATATGATTAATATTGCTCGTTACACTCGTTTACGGCGTAACTCATCCTGTCATAACTATTACATTATATTTTATTATAATCCCATAAAAAGATATTAGTGTAATATTATATGATTTTACATCAAACGAAGTGTAATATATTTATATAATGCAATGCGTACATACATGCATACATCCCAACTTGTATCTGGCCGCAGTACTTCCGTTATACTTGCAATCGATGCATCAGTATGGACTTGTTCAATCATTTAAATATTCCGGCTAATACTGATAGGCAACAACGCCAAGTAATTTTTATACATAAAGTTAATGTATTTTTTATTGAAAAATTTAAAAAAAAAATACTCGCTTAAAGCTTTAATAATATCAACGAGTATTATTACTCGCACTAAACTGCGTCATATGCCGCTACACTAGAAACTACGTTAGTTTCCAGCGCATACGAGTACTACACATTGCACTCTACGCTGTTAGCTGCTAGCTGCTGGCTGCAAGTTTCAATATGTTATTGACACGCCCCATTCTGTGAAAAATAACAGAAAAACGTAGCGAGTAGAAATTTTTATGAAAAGAAGTAGTCAGGCTGTGTGCGAGTGCTTTTTATATCGTTAATTTTTAATTGATCTACCAAACATTATTGTTGTTGTTGTTGTTGTTGTTATTGTTGATATATTTGGTTGTTGTTATTGTTGTTGTTGTTGTTGTTGATTTTAGCAAAGTATTAACCTCCTTTTTCCTTTCAACTTAGTTGGCTTAGTTGGCTTTTTGCCATATTTTCAAGTGCCCCTAAGGATCAATATTGAACATTGTACATATATTGTTATTGTTATGGGTTAAAGAGATATTGTACCCGTTGTTGTTATAGCTGCTATTGTTGTTGCTGTTGTTGTTGTTGTTGTTATTGTATTTATGATGTGTTTTCACATTTTATGAAAAAGTGCATTTTAATAATATTACCTTCTTGTTGAGTGAATACCGATTTTTTTTTCATCAGTTTTTTGCTTCATTTATTAATATTGATGAAATGTTGTCTTAACAAGATCTAGCGTCAGCATTAGCATTACTGAAGACATTGTGGATGAAGTTGACGAACACGACAACATGGCAATACTTTTTTTTGTATACTTTTTTTTGGCGTAAAAACGCCCTACAAAAAAGCAGTCGAAACTGCAGGCCGGCAGTATTGCCCGTAGTTCACTTGGGCTCAGTTCACTTCAGTTTTTGATTTGATTTTAGTTGATCGGACGATGAACTTATATTAGTAAAGCAAATTTTTTGTTTAGTTTTTGTGGATCTTGTTTATTTGCCGGGATTTTGATTTTATTTTGATACGATTTCTATAGCTTTTTGTTATATATACCATATTTAAAAAGATAATTTTTTTTTTGTGCAATACATTCTTCAGCTGTTATATGTATTTAAAGAAAAAAATTGTTTTGAACCTGCTGGCATAGTAGCTGCGAAGTGAGTAAATTTTTGATTTATGTACGCTACATTATGGGGTGGGGAAGCCCTCATTTTTATAGTTTTTGCTTTTTATTTTTTTATTATATCTTTTAACCGAAATACACATATTGATCTCAACTTTGATTTCTGTTTTTAAATAAAAGATTTTTTTTTTCTTAACTCTTTATTTTATTTTCATTTATTTTCTTTTATTGTCTTTTTTATTTTTTTTTTGTAATATGTTTTTTTTTTTTGGCATTTTGCAGTGAGTTAATTTTTGGCGTTACGGCCCACATACTTTAAAGTTGTCTGCAAAAATCTTTGTGGCAGATAGACTTAGTTTGGCACACTAATATTTCGATTTTATTATTTCGATCGCGTTTTAGATATTCCCACGGTTTTTAAATTAAAACAAAATATATCAGAGTCTAGCGCGCATATGGCGTAAGTTTGAAGTTAGTATGAACTCGCTGTTACATACTTAAAGTAGTAACGCAGCGAGTAGTTGCGAATAAAGGGTTAAGAAAAACTGTCGTTTGTCGTCAACTGCCATGTAGAGCTAAGCTTATAATTAATCGTCGAGTTAGTAAAATCAGTTAAGACTGTAAATAAATGGAAATAATTGGAAGTTCGGTAAATCAGTTAAGCATATTTATTAAATCAGTGATCATAAAAAAAATTATATCATACTATAAGGAGTGTGATTTAATTAATATTTTAACGTTAATTTGACAGTGATGATTTTGAATTTGTTGAATTTGAAAAAAAAACGTTTAAAATTTTTGACTTATTTTATAACTCCATCTAGGTAAATACACATTCTTATACATATAAATTATATATATATATATAAATGCAGAGTGGCCCAATTGAACTGCAACTTCCTACAATGCTGCATTTTCTGTATAAAAAAAGGTCTTAAAGAAATATAATATATTATTTAGTTGATTTGAATTTGTTTAGATCAAAAGTAGAGCTATTCGTCTTCAACTGTTGTGCGCATATCGTTCAATTCGTGGCTTAATCGTCTTAAGCACAATCTATGGCCGCTAGAGCGTTTTGTAGCAGTACAAAATTATAGCTTGATTTTACTATAATCCCAAACTATACCTTTATTTTATATCAAGAAAATCTAAAAATAGTCAAATAAAAATAGTCAAATTATTTCAATTAAATTATTAAATTAATTATTTAAATTTTTATTATTGAAAAATAAAATCAGTTGTCTAGCGAAATATAAAGACAGTATTATAACCCGTTTAAAGGTTATTGCACTATGAATTGAAGTGCAATTCAATTGGGTTACACTATATACTCAATTGGGTCATCTTACTATTTATTCTGCTAACGTATCTGCTAATCATATCAGCTTATTCTTGTAGTTATTGCATTAATTTTTAAATTTATAACAAAGATAATCATTTTTTTAGTTATTTAGTATGTTCCATAAATTTAATACCTATAAAACTTTATTATTTGAGAAACTATGAATTCCAATTCTTAATAAATTTATGTACTATTTATGCACCTGTGTAGTTTTTGTCTACAATAGTTCAACTCACACAATATAAATTATATTATTTTTGTTTTATTTCTCTCTAGTTCTTTCCAAAGAACTTCCTCGTATCTAGTTTTTTCCTGTTTTACGCTATTTCATATGCATACAGCACATTAATGGACACATAAAATGCATTAAAACTCGAACATTTATATTAAATTAACATAAAAACTAAGCCCTTTAATAAAAATTTATTAAGCTTAAAACTAGTTAATATGCAAAAAACTAGAAAAAAATCTACATAAGTTTTTGCACACGTCATTAACACCACAAAAGCCAAAGCTAATAAAACCCAGAAAGTGTATTAGAGGCAACCAACCCTCATGTACAGTTAGAATAGTGCTACTTTCAAGCACTTAACCCTTTCGTGGTGCATTTCAAGACAATATGTGAAAATTAAAGCAACGCGTTGACAAAAAGCATGAGCGTGTTAAGAAAACATTTATATAAACTGAGATATAACACAAAAAGTAAAAAAAGAAAATAAAAATAAAAAATAGACTGTAAATGAAACAAAATACATTTCTAGAAAAACAAAAACAAAAACAGAAACAAAATTTATTTAGTACCAGTGACAAAGTGACAAAAACCAACTAAAAAACATATTCTCTGTGTCCAGTGTGTGTGACAAAAATTAATGACAATTTTCATACCTGCGCCAGGTTGCGACAAATCATATGCCACTGAAATCGTATCGTATCCATTGTGGGTTGGCTCAAACTGCAGTAGCCATAAAATTTTATTTAAAAAGAAATCTACCCAATACTACTGTAATCATACCTATGGTATGGCTTATGGTTTTCGAAAGGATTTTATGTTCACAAGACATTGACGTGCTACTGTCTCTGATATTCAATAAAAGTACATACTGGCAACTACACAAAGACGGTCAGTTTGTGAGTGGCAGAACGAAACCATTTCAATTCTTCAGCGTTGGCTTTATAAATTTCTGGTATTAAATCGCATTAACTTGGGCGGCCATAAAACCCATTGAGCACTACTAATGAGTCGCATTTGTTTTATTGATTTTATATTTCCTTTCGGTTGTGCATGCAAATTTGTTTTGATTTCAAGCTGGCAACTCCACAATAGCAAAACCCGGGCTATAAAATTCTTGGTACGCGCTTTAATTGTATTATTAACAACTTGATTGCTTAATAAAATTGTTTGGAATATAATTTATTGAAATCATTTATTATTAGTATAATTTATTTAAACACTTTCAAGTAGTTAATTTGAAAAGTGGCTATAGTTAGTATAAGATAAGAATATATATATTAAATAATTAAAAAAAAAATAATAATAATAAATAAATCATAGTAAATATAATAAAAAATCATAAAAGCAAATAATTAAAAGCAAATTAAGAAAATTAAAAAAATAAATTATAAAAATTAATAAATTATATAAATATTAAATTTATTATAAGTAATAAAACTAATAATATAAAAGCAAAAATTCATCATAAAATTAAAACATAGAATTTTTAATTATAAAACTGTTAAATAAAATAATATAAAATCAGATAGAATTAAATAAAATTATCTAAACAAAATAATAAAATAAAATAAAATAATGTAAAATGAATTATAATAAATTAAAAATATACTATGTTTATACATATGTCGGATAAATTTTTAAGTACATAAAAAGTGCTACATTGAAAACGAATAAAGAAAAGGAATTTAGTTATACAAAATAATGCTATGAAAATAATACTATGTACAATATGTACAGTTACGTCAAATTGAAATACATCTCATTTGAAGTTTTATTAATATAAGAATAATATTATTTTAACTAATTGCGCAAAACTTTTTAGGATTCTTTATATACAAAGGAACATATAAAATGTAATACAATTATTAATTAAGCACTTGTATTTATATTTATTTATATTTTATATTAATTTAATTTTTATAATTTAATTTTAACATATTTGTATGAAAATAATATTCTATTCTAAAGATTGAATTAGCAAATAAACATTGAATGGAATAAAAAAAACCTTTACGCTGTAAAGTGCTGTAAGATGGCACTTTCATATTGTATATAACATAAGAAAGAAATATGTATAAGTATAGAATGAAGATATCGACGATATCGATCTTCTGTGCAAATAAATAATTGTAATTATAAATTAATATTGTTATTGGTATGATTAAACTTAACAGACCTTATTTGAATTTCAGTTTCTAGAAATTAGAAGTCAGTAATTTTATGAACAATTTTTACTACTTAAGC